TGCATGTGGGTTACATATGGGCCCCAAATGGGTTATATCTGGGCTATGGGCTAAATCAGATGGGCCCCACATGGATCTTGGGTGCAGAATCCGGAGGTTTCCTCAAGGATAGCACATATGGTACCCATGTGGGTAAGAAAATATAGGTCCCATATGGGAAACCTATATGCCACCCACATACAATTTAATGTGGGTTCCATGTGGGCCCCAAATGGGTTATATCTGGGCTATGTGGGCTAAATGATATGGGTCCCACATGGAACTTGGGTGCAGAATCCGGAGGTTTCCTCAAGGATTGCACATATGGTACCCATATAGATCTGCATATGGGCACCATATGGGTCCCTTATGGGCTTGTTACCTGGGAAGCCTTCTCTAGGACATAGTCGTGCTAGTCAGCCTATCACATACAGTAGGAATATGTTGCTTTCTTTAAATTCCAACTGTAAAGCTAGAGTATCAGCTACTGCCTTTAAAAATCTGAAGGAGTTTGATATTTTACGCCCTAGGCGTGGTTGCCGTGCAGGTAGACAGATTAAGTCAAAGGTCATAACAACATCACCTGTTCGTTCACATTCCTCATCTTCTAGACCTTGTCATTACAAATAATCCTAACCTTGTGAAACTTTCACTGGTTCATGAATATCCCTTGTCTGATCATTTCTTTCTTCACGTTACTCTCGATGCGCGCAAACCAGCACCTGCCAAGAAAGTTGTGACTTTTAGAAAATTTAACAACATTGACATCAATATTCTCGATCGGAGAATTGCGCATTCTCTCTCTCTAATTTTAGTGATGACATGGATGTGAACAACGCAATAACCCAGTACAACAATACACTTACTTTACTTAGAGATGAACTGGCCCCATTAAAATCTAATCATGCATCCCCTGCTTGGTTCACCAATAATTGTAGGATAGCTAAACAAGCAAGACGTAAAGCTGAGCGGAAATGACTGAAATCTCAAGATCATTGTGATTTCGCCGAGTATAAGATTCAATGCAATATTTACCACCGTACGCTTGCAGATTCTCTGGTTTCTTGCCTCCAGTCTAAGATCGACGGATGTGGACATGATCAGAGAGCTCTGTTCAAACTTGCCAACAAGCTACTTGGTAGGACAACCGTGGCAAATTTACCACCATCATCCAGTAAGCTTCAGTTGGCTACTGACTTTAACACATTTTTCGTTGATAAAATCAAACGTCTGCGTCAGAGTATCTCTATCAAATCTGAAGTTTCATCTTTCACGGCTGCATCTCATCCCTCATGTCATATTACCAAACTTGAAAGCTTTGAGACAGTCAGTGAAGACACGGTTGCAAAACTTCTTATATCTATGGCACCAAAATCTTGTGATTTGGATCCTTTCCCTACCAAGATTGTTCGTAAACTCAAATGTGCTGTCTCATTATTTCGTTCTCTTGTCAATTCGTCCCTATCCTCCGGCATTTTTCCTGACTCTTTAAAGATTGGTATTATCACGCCCCTCTTGAAAAAATCAACATTGGATCCTCATTCATTTATCAATTATCGGCCAGTTACTAATATCCCTTTTGTAGGCAAGATCATTGAGAAAGTTGTCTGTTCAATTCTTGTTAAGTTTTTAAATTCCAATAATTTATTTGATTCTTACCAGTCAGCCTTTAGAAAAGCACACAGTACGGAATCTGCTGTAATGAA